TCAAAGACTTGGTGGTCAGATGACACATCCTGGTTAGCACAGTGGCTAACCAATGCTAGTTTTAATCATAGAGTATCCTAAAAAAATAACCTCATATATCAGAAACAGTCAGTTTGTATCATTGACATCATGTTGCTGTCCAAAGAAAAACATGTATCTCAAAATCTCTTTGATTTTGAATTATTGTCTTGATAGTTTGAAGAACTTCTACGTATTAAGAACAAACTTTAAAGTCCAGATGAAGCTGAAAACGAGGCCGTTTTTCTTTTATCATGAAAAGCTGATGTTTTTGAGATACGTATGTAAAACTACACTGAGATGGTTTTTAAATCATCTTATGGATCAACACTTCAAATAAAACACAGAAGAAGAAGAAAATATGGAGTTTTAAATCACAATGACAGGAAACAGGCATTTTCAATCCACTGATCTTCCCCTAACTTTAACCAAGAGCTGTGAGAGTGTGAACAGAACCACAGACAGTCTGATAATGCTGGAGTCACTACAGGTGGAGATTGTGCTGCAGGATCAGATGACTGCAAGGAGGCAGATCAGTCTATATGTCATGATAACAGCATCCTCCGAACCCATGATATCCAGTCACTCTCTCTTCACGCGTCACTTTTCCAGCTGTCTAAAACGCTCGTCTCTGACCCTCCCAGCTGATCTGTGACCTGTGAGGCTGGAAACGTTCACCATGTTGTGAAGAGTCAGACTGGAAGTGCAGGGGGAGCAACCAGCCCACATGTTTTCCTTTTTCCCTGGAAGATATTCAATGTCAGTTTTTCTTATGAAAAGTGATTAAAGTAGTTGTGTAAAGGATCCAGCCATCTGTTTCCACCCCCCACCCCCCACACCCCACACAAACACACATCTGACTAATCACTGAGTACAGTGGGTGTGAAAGTCAGGTTATCTGTTGCTGACGGTTGAGGAGATTGTCGGACTCACAGCTGCAGTTTCAGGCGTCTGTGTTGCTATAGACGTCGGTGTGTTTCAGAACCTGGAAGTTCTGGTTTCACTTCAGCTCCCCGTCGCCGAGTCTCTTCCCTTTTCTTCCCTCTGAATCAGTTGAGTAACAGCAGAGAAAGGGAAAAAGAGACTATTTTTGTATTTTTTCTCTCAATAACAAACAGGGCTGTGAGGTTCCATCAGGCTCCGCCCCCAGCCTGTAACAAAAGTAGACGCTCACCCCTCCCTCGGCGCTAATCTGTAAACTGAATCACAAATAAAAAGCAGTTCCTGTTTCAAACTGCTGCTCTGTTTTTCTTGTTATAAACTGAATCTCCGTAGTGACCGACAGACGGGGAAGAAGACAATAAACAGCAGAACCACAGTGGAGAAAGTGAAAGTCATGAATCCAGATTCTGCTTGTATTCACCCTGCAGACCACTCACTCAGAATAATATACTATATATTACATAACTGCATTTTAATTATTGATTAGTGTTTAATGTTGCAGCTGTGTAATTTGTGAATTTTATCCCAGGGATCAATAAAGTCTAATCTTAATGATTAAAATTGTTGATATTATGTAGAATTATTCATCTGAATCTGTTAAGTAATTAAAGTCATCAGATATCAGATGAAATGGAAATACTCAAGTGGAGTATAAGTACCTCACTGTTGTATTTAAGTGTAGTACTTGAGTAAATGTTCATAGTTACTTTCCTCCACTGGCGATGGAGCCTTTAAAATGACATTTCACAGCAAAACCAGTCGATCAGTGATCAGCAGAGTCACTCCTGGGGGGTGATGTAAGGCCACATGAATTTTTTTGAACTTTAACACAGATATTTAGAGTATTGACCAACAGCGAGCCGCCCTCACAGAGCTGACCTTTCAGGGAATGAAGAGCCAGAGAATCACCATCCGGGTTTATTGAACCTCCTCTGTTGGAGTATAAAGTGCTGATTTATATAATAATGGAGCTGGTTCTTCTTAGAATATGGAAAATAAACTCCAGGACAAAGCCAATGAGAGAAATGCTGAAGAGCCGAGTTTCAGATGCAGGTAGAGAAAAGGCTAACCCAGCTCTCTACTGAGACTGACTACAGCTAGCTAAGTCTCAGCTTCCTGACTGTTACTGACTGTTACTGACTGTTACTGACTGTAACTGTAACTGACTGTAACTGACTGTTACTGACTGTAACTGACTGTAACTGACTGTTACTGACTAACTGTAACTGATTGTAACTGTAACTGTTACTGACTGTTACTGACTGTAACTGACTAACTGTAACTGTAACTGATTGTTACTGACTGTTACTGTCTGTAACTGACTGTAACTGACTGTTACTGACTAACTGTAACTGATTGTAACTGTCTGTAACTGTCTGTAACTGTTACTGATTGTTACTGACTGTTACTGTCTGTAACTGACTGTAACTGACTGTAACTGACTGTTACTGACTGTAACTGTAACTGACTGTAACTGACTGTAACTGTAACTGATTGTTACTGACTGTTACTGTCTGTAACTGACTGTAACTCACTGTTACTGACTGTTACTGACTGTAACTGACTGTCACTGACTGTAACTGCAACTGACTGTAACTGACTGTAACTGTAACTGATTGTTACTGACTGTAACTGATTGTTGCTGACTGTTAGTGTCTGTAACTGACTGTAACTCACTGTTACTGACTGTTACTGTCTGTAACTGACTGTAACTGACTGTAACTGACTGTTACTGACTGTAACTGTAACTGACTGTAACTGACTGTAACTGTAACTGATTGTTACTGACTGTTACTGTCTGTAACTGACTGTAACTCACTGTTACTGACTGTTACTGACTGTAACTGACTGTCACTGACTGTAACTGCAACTGACTGTAACTGACTGTAACTGTAACTGATTGTTACTCACTGTAACTGACTGTCACTGACTGTAACTGCAACTGACTGTAACTGTCTGTAACTGTCTGTAACTGTCTGTAACTGTCTGTAACTGTCTGTAACTGTCTGTAACTGTCTGTAACTGTCTGTAACTGTCTGTAACTGTCTGTAACTGTCTGTAACTGTCTGTAACTGTCTGTAACTGTCTGTAACTGTCTGTAACTGTCTGTAACTGACTGTAACTGACTGTAACTAACTGTAACTGTAACTGTAACTGATTGTTACTGACTGTTACTGTCTGTAACTGACTGTTACTGACTGTAACTGACTGTAACTGACTGTAACTGACTGTAACTGACTGTAACTGACTGTAACTGACTGTAACTGACTGTAACTGACTGTAACTGACTGTAACTGACTGTAACTGACTGTAACTGACTGTAACTGACTGTAACTGACTGTAACTGACTGTAACTGACTGTAACTGACTGTAACTGACTGTAACTGACTGTAACTGACTGTAACTGACTGTAACTGACTGTAACTGACTGTAACTGACTGTAACTGACTGTAACTGACTGTAACTGACTGTAACTGACTGTAACTGACTGTAACTGACTGTAACTGACTGTAACTGACTGTAACTGACTGTAACTGACTGTAACTGACTGTAACTGACTGTAACTGACTGTAACTGTAACTGATTGTAACTGACTGTAACTCACTGTTACTGACTGTTACTGACTGTAACTGACTGTAACTGACTGTTACAGTTACCTACTGTTACTGTCTGTAACTGTAACTGTCCATCCTCGGTCGGTGTTGAGTGTCAGCAGCTGGGATCCTTGTTGCTGTGTAACAGTAGAGGTGTTTGTGTCCTCCAGCTGGTTCAGACGCTGTCAGACTGGTTTCTATCAGCTCCAGTTGCTCTGACAGCCTCCGGCCTGCAGGAGATAACACACTTCACTCTGTTGTTATTGTCCTGGGCTGAAGCACAGTCAGTGTAAACCTGCCTGTACTCTCTGTGTCTCCCTCATGTTTATGAAGGGACTTTCTGAGCCTGGACTTTGGTGGGGGTGGGGGGGGTTAATAGTCTGCCACATAAATGGTCTTAATATAATGAATGGTTGTTTTTACTCGTCTGTTCTCAGTACACTCACTTTGATGTTAATACCAGGCGTTTGCAGAGGTTCATCTGTCTGTTTCTGGTGTGTGAAGAGACGTGATCCCTCTCTGAACCTGGTCTGACCCTGTTCTGTTGCTGTGTTCTGGTGTTGGGTACAGATTGTTATCTAAGTGAGTGAGGAGAGGAGCTTTGTACACACTGATCTGTGATCTACTTATTCTACCCAAACCAGCTGCTCATTTTTTGATGACCTTATGCTGCTTTCTTTGGAGGCAAGGATCCAGTATCACACCTAAGTGTGTTAACAAGAAGACCTGCTCCAAATCTCTAATTGTCAAGGAGTTACTGGTTCTTCTAAAGAGTCTAGATTTAGTTTTTTAGTTTAGTTACAGTTTATAAACTCTAAACTACAAGACAGCTCCCTCCACATCCTCTGTTAGGGCTTTCCTCTGAGTAGTGAACGAGTGTATCATCCGTAGGACAGTGGGTCGTCTGGATGATACCTGCTGAGCTTATCGGGGGACAAAACAGAAATGCCCAATATATCAAAATATGACAACTGACTGTAACTGACTGTAACTGTCTGTAACTATACAATATATCAAAATATAACTTTGCAGTGTTAAGGGTAGGGGTCATCCAAGCTGCCTGAGTCATCCTCAGATTATGGAAAAGTAAATATGTACGTTTACCACGGGCCTTGGAATATTTCTGTTTGTGTAGATTTAGATAAGTAAATAAATTATAACTTTAATGATGAAAACAGAAGTCTACCATCTTCTTACGGATAGATTATTCACTTTGTGTTGGACACTTATTTGCAACAGTGAAGGTCCGATTACGTTTCCCTGTGGGACGCCACACGTCCCTGGGGACGGGGCCTGTTGACAGTGAACACACCAACTCCTTCGTCATGGAGACGATTCAAACGGTTTCACTGTTACTGAGTCAGATGTGTGTGTTCTTCAGCTCAGTGACTCAGTTCAGGAAATGATCAAATGTTAGTAATGACTGTGTTTCTGTGTCTCTTTCAGCCAAAGTGTTCAGACAGGCTCCCCGAGCCACCGGCTCCGCCCACCAAATCCTCGAGCCGCCACAGTCTGCCGCCATGTCGCAGCTCTGTGGCCTCCCTCACCGACGAACAGCCGCACGTCGGCAACTACCGCCTGATGAAGACCATCGGCAAGGGCAACTTCGCCAAAGTCAAACTGGCCCGACACACACTGACGGGCCGAGAGGTGAGAACAGTCAGTCCTCCTCAGCAGGACGAGGACAACTGTTACCAGTCCACAACATTACACTGTGTGTTCTGTGTGGGTGGAAGACACAGGTGAATGCAGGTGTTAAAAACAACAGGAAGTTAGTGACTGGTGTTCGGCTGCTAATTTAGCCACTTAGCTGCTTAGCAGACACAATTCACGGAGGATGTTAAGCTTCTTCTCGGAGCCGTAACTCAGTCAAATCTGAACACACAAACTTCATACACATATTTTTGATTCAGTGTGACTTACACTTCACATCTGTATTATATCTGACATCCATCATGAACAAACATCTGTCTCAGAAATCAGAGGAAAAAGACAGTCCTTCAAACTGCAGAAGTCCTTGAAAATCTTCAGGTTTTTAAGTTTTCTCAGTATCAAAGTGGTCAGTGATAGTTTGTCTGGACATACATGAGTTCACTGCAGACGGGACATGCTAATAGCTAATTCAGCACACATTTAATGGTGCCAATATGTCCCTGTTGTGGAGGGAAAGGTTATGCAAGACCCGTTGTGTCAGACTGTGAGAAACCCTGCTCTGACCCTCACCTTCAAACCCTGACGACTCAGAGATACAAACAAGTTAGAATTTAGAAAATAAGGAAAATAATAGAAAAAAGTCATTAAAATGAACTGTTATGGGGACAATAATGTTATGGAGACAAGTAATATCACTACATTTCATAGGTTCCATATTTTTATGCTTATTTCCAGAAAATGTCTTAAAATTTAGCTGCTCTTTAGCTGTTAATTACAAGGATATTTCCTAAAGAGGCCAAGAAAGAAAGTACCCACTCGTTATATTGATGCTTTTAACTATGAAATCATGCAGCAGGTGAGTGTGAAATAATAAACAGACATCAGTATCCATCAGAGTTTCCTAGAAAGACCAACAAACATTCTTCATTTGGATTCCTCATGACTCTCTGCTGCTACATTATAGATCTGCTTTGGTAACTGATATGAAATATTAATATTAATATTAATTGATGTTTATGCTGCACATTGGTTGAATTAACTACACTGAGAATTCCTTCGTTTTCTGTTTTAAACTGATGATGATCAACAAATAAAAACTCACTTGATGCAGTTATACAAATATATTTCTACCTCATGTCCACAGACATGATTTTCCATCTAATCATGAGTGAAGATTTTTTGCGGAAACCTTGTGTTTCTGTTTTTCAATTATCTACAACATAATTTCTTAGTTTTTCCTTAAAAACACAAATTTAAGGAGCAGATACTTAATAACTGTAAGGCTTGAACCAGACACAGATGTGAGGGAGCAGCGGCGTCTCTGAACGTCCTCTGCTCCGTCTGAGAGTCGTTGGGGTTAAATGGGTTTGATCCTGTGACATCATCAGCTGGAGGCGGCGGCTGAGGGATGAATTATTGATGCTGCACACGTCGGCAGCTCAGAGCCAATTGGTCGGAAGATGAGATGTGTGTGTGTGTGTGTGTGTGTGTGTGTGTGTGTGTGTGTGTGTGACGTTTTCTACTTATTTTAAGACCCATTTTTCTGAGAGGAGAAGTCAGAGCTGTCCAATCAGCTTCTTTTTTTCTCTCTGGAGGCGTCAGGCTCTGGTGGGTCAGAGAAGAAGAAAAAGAAGAAGAAGAAGAAGAAGAAGAAGAATGTGGAGGTTTCCAGCTCTGACTGGATGATGACAGATGAATGTTTTCACGCTCTGATGGTTAACGTGAAGCCACGCCTCCTGAATCAGCTGATTTCCTGTGCTTTCACGTCTCTCTGCTGCAGCCCATTTTAACCTTATTGATCATCTTTAAAGAGCTTTTTGGACTCGAGCCTGAATCAGACTCTGAGCTTTGATCCTGCTGACGCCTCCCGCTGACTCAGCGTTTTCCCTCACGTTTGGTCTGCGCTGTTATACATTTTTATTCTTATTTATTATTTATTTGTTTAATTTCAATTTTAATTTAAATTCAAACATCATGTCCCACTGTTGCACGTTTGTGCCACTGCAGAGATGCACTACATTTCACTGCATAGCTGTGCAATGACACATAAAGGCATTCTATTCTATTTCTGTAAGACTGCACTCAAACATGCTTCAAGTAGAAACTATTAAAATCAATACAAGAAAGCAACACAACAGAGATATTAAATCATGTCCAGCTATAATACAATAAATTAGATAAAGTGTGTCTTAAAAGGACTGTAATCTTTTTAGGAAAGTGCAGTATTATCAGGACGTCTCTTGGAAAAAATACATTAAAAAAAAAAGCAAAACATGAACAAAGAAACTGATAATTGAATATTTAAATTAAATATAGGCTATGCACATATGCAAACAGCATAAAGACAAGAAGCTGGAGACTTGTACTTAGAAATAAAACAATATAAAGAGAGTGGAGTGCTCAGTTGTTCAGGGTTTTTATAGCAGAGGTGACAACGTAACCTGAATTAAAGACGATTAACGATTAATTAAGTTTTTATTCGGTCACATGTGTTGGAGTCGTTGGTGGTCGACTGTTTCTGAGGAAAAGACCAAGAATCAACCTCCAGGGCTGAAAAATGAAACTAAACGCTGCAGTTCCTCTAACGACCACTAGAGTCTGGCTCCAACAGTGAGTCAGTCCCCATAGACTCCCATGTTAAAATGTCCAACTTTACAGCAGAAATAAACATGTTTACAGCCTGGTACAAAAACTGTTCTGGTCTCTAGAGATAATTTCCTCCTTCATGACACCTGTTTATATAACTCACCTGTTTACATTTTATTACGGACTACAGTTATGGAGGGTGTGGCCTCTATGAGTGACAGGTGGGTGAGTGTATGCTTGACACAAACCAGCATGAACTGAAGTCTCAGCTCCACAGACGCCCCTCCTCTTTGACCATTTTTAGATTAGTTTTGAGTTAGGGGCAGAGTCAGACACTGCCAAGATGGCAACCGTGGAGCAACATGTTTTCAGTTGTATAAAATGATCTGGAGTCAAATGCAATGAATTGATCAGTGTGTGTTTCTGTTCACCCCAGGTCGCCATCAAGATCATCGACAAGACGCAGCTGAATCCGACCAGTCTGCAGAAGGTACGCTCTCCCCTCTCACCTCACTCACTGTCTGATTTCACTTTTTGGGAAGGTCTGTTCCTTCTGTCTGAGCCAATCAGGGACAGACATGTCACCTGGAGGTCATGTAAGACTTTAATACATCAGGTCACATTCAGTTTGTCCCTCATCTGTCTTCCCCAGTCAGATGTTTCATCTCTGTGAGATGTTAGCCTAGCTTAGCACAAAGACTGGAAGCAGGTGGAAACTGTTAGCCTAGCTGAGTCTGATTTCAGCCGCGGTGATGATGTCATGAAATGTGCTTAAGCTTCAGCTTCACTGATGCAGATTATGTTTTTAGCTCTTCAGGGAAGTCAGTGTGATGAAGATCCTCAACCACCCCAACATCGGTGAGTCTACCCCAGTATTTGGCAGCAGCAGTACTCAGTATTTAGTACTACTAGGTCTCAGTATTTGGCAGCACCAGTGCTCAGTATTTAGTACTACTAGGTCTCAGTATTTGGCAGCAGCAGTACTCAGTATTTTGTACTACTAGGTCTCAGTATTTGGCAGCAGCAGTGCTCAGTATTTAGTACGACTAGGTCTCAGTATTTGGCAGCAGCAGTGCTCAGTATTTAGTAGTACTAGGGCTCAGTATTTGGCAGCAGCTTTATGTTTCCTCTGTTGTTTTTCAGTGAAGCTGTTTGAGGTTATTGAGACGGAGAAAACTCTGTACCTGGTGATGGAGTACGCCAGCGGAGGTAAGCCCAGATCACCGGTCTGACCCACCTGTCTTTTCACCTGTGTCGGCAGGTAACATGTGGACAGGTGATCAGTGAACTTCACCCCGGCAGACTGGGAAATAAATGTATAAAGTCATGCAGAGGTTTTGTTCTCCGGCCTCAGGTCTGTCACGTCACACCTGTCTGTGTGTTTCAGGTGAGGTCTTTGACTACTTGGTCGCTCATGGACGGATGAAGGAGAAGGAGGCCAGAGCCAAGTTCCGCCAGGTGAGATCTTTTCATATCCATGACACTATCTGCTCCTCCATATCCCATCAGCCACTGCACCCTGGTCAGTTGTTGAATGGTGCATTCAGGGGTTCAGCTCTGTCGACTTGTGAAGTCTGGAAATGTGAAGTGATCATTAATGTATTCATGGCTGCAGACCTCAGGACTTCCTGGGTGCTGTGTCTGCTGGGAGAACAGGGAACCAACTGTCGCTCCACCAGCTGCATCAGTTTGCATTTTATTAGCTGATTTTCTTGAAATGCACCACATTTGAATGGAAACTTGGCCAGTAACTGTGAAACAGAGGCTGTTAGAAGTCAGTGTAAAACATCCTGTCCATTAACAGCTGGACCAGCACCACTCAGCACCTGCCTCTGGCTGCGGCTGTAGTAGGATCTATTTGTGCTGTTTTATTTATAGATTTCTTTTTATGTCGCACTGCACCTCATGTTTGCGAGCAGCGTGAGCCTTCCAGATGTTTTCCTGCTGTTTTTTGAACCTGTAGTATTGTACCGCTGCAGGATGTGTTGGCTCATCCTCCATGTAGAGACCAGACCACATCACCCCCCCACCCCCACCCACAGAATAAATTAGCGTAGAGTAACCACTAATAAAATGAATCCATTTCATTATGGGTCCATTAGCGTAACGGCTAACGGAGGTGTTCAATCTGCTGAGCTGTGGTCAAAACAAACACTAAGTGCTGCTGAGTTAAGCTCAGTTTGTAGCCGTGTTAGCATGGCGTCAAGTCCGGTGTAGACTGATGAGAGCTGAGCCTGACGGGCTGACTCTGACATGTCCTCCGAAAGGCCACCGCAGACATGATAAAACCACTGATTTAGGTAACAACATGTGCTTCCCTGTGCCGCCACCCTCAGGACAAACTGTGAATTACACTTGTCTGATGGTGGTGACAGACTTCTGCAGAACTCCTGATCTAAATGATTCTTCTTCTTCTTCTTCTTCTTCCTGTATCGCTGTGTGTTTGTGTCAGATCGTGTCAGCTGTGGAGTACTGTCACCAGAAGAGGATTGTACACAGAGACCTCAAGGTACACACACACGCACACACACACGCACACACGCACACACACACACACACACACACACACACACACACACACACACACACACACACACACTGTGTGTGACTGTCCCCTCACATGCAGACTAAATGTTTATCCGAAATTCGTTTCTTAACTAAAACCTTTTGTCTCTCAGGCAGAGAACCTCCTGCTGGACGCCGACATGAACATTAAAATCGCCGACTTCGGCTTCAGTAACGAGTTCACGATGGGCAGCAAGTTGGACACGTTCTGCGGCTCCCCTCCTTACGCGGCTCCTGAACTCTTCCAGGTGAACACTCAGCCCTGCCCACCACACCTGTGTAACAACAACTCTGTTAATATTACTGTTAGAGTGTTTGTATGAGGAGGCACAGGCCTTTAAAATTACACGTACATTAGATTTACTGGATTTCATTGTGTTTTTTATGTTTTATTTATGTTCTTTTAAAAAAGCAACACAAATAAAGTTAGACAAGACAAAACTTGTGAGTTGTAACAGGAGTACTAATTGTATGTAAGTATCCTCAAATACTGGGACACAGAATAACTGGAATAATTCAGGAATAATCACAGAGTGAAAATGCAGCCGTAAACTGTGTCAGTGTGTTGTGAGAGCAGTGGGCTGCTGGGTAATGTAGTTCTGTCATCTTGCAGGGGAAGAAGTATGATGGGCCGGAGGTGGACGTCTGGAGTCTGGGAGTGATTCTCTACACGCTGGTCAGCGGCTCGCTGCCCTTCGACGGACAGAACCTCAAGGTAGATGAGTCAACAGCTGCTGACCTCTGCATGAAAGATGGAGGAAAAAATCATGAGTTGTGCTATTGTATTTATAAAACTGTACAATAACAAACTGGCCTTATGTGAGACTCATAGCGATATACTGCCAGCAACGTTAGCATTGTAGCTAAGGGGAGTTTTGGAGATGTAAATACTGCTTGGTGTTATGGGGACATCTAGTGTTCATGTGAGGCGTTTAGGGGACAGTCAAGGTTTATGATCAAAGCTATCAATTTTATTTTGTTTATTGAACTTCTCACTGTGTGTGTGTGTGTGTGTGTGTGTGTGTGTGTGTGTGTGTGTGTGTGTGCGCATGTGCAGGAGCTGAGGGAGCGTGTTCTCAGAGGAAAATACCGGATTCCCTTCTACATGTCGACTGACTGTGAAAACCTGCTGAAGAAGCTGCTGGTCCTGAACCCCGGGAAGCGAGGCAGCCTTCAGGTGACACACAGGCAACCTGAAACCCTGACTTTAACCTTTACAACATCTGTCAACCACACACATATTAATAAATAAAAGTTTTTAACCAGGAGCTGTGACTAACTCAACAACAGCTCTTTCACAATAAAAGCCTTAAATGGTGTTGCTGTTGCATTAATCACAGGAAAACAGATAATAAAAAGAAAAGATAAATCATTCACTCTGTAATCATTGTTTTTGCCACCATCACTCCCTCCTCACTTCCTGTTGATGCTAAACTTGCGTTAAGGGAAGTTTTATTGTTAAAGTCAGTGTGTTTAGTTAAAGTTATGCTAAGTAGTGATTTTTCTTCAGCTCTGCACATAAAAACACAAAATCCTTCATGTTTAAAAGTTATTATTATTATTTCTGTTCGTCTGTTTCTCAGCAAGTCATGAAGGATCGATGGATGAATGTCGGCTACGAGAGCGAGGATCTGAAACCGTTCACAGAACCAGAGCAGGACTTCAGCGACCTCGAACGCATCGGTCAGACACACACGCACACACATATTCCCATGATTCATTTGGTATATCTGAACTGAGCAGTTGAACAAGTCAAACGCACCTGTAAGTTTTTGCACCAACCAAAGCCGACTGTGTTTCCTGACCAATCAGAGCTGTTGGGGACGATGGGATTCCCTCAGGAGGAAGTGATGAAGGCGCTGGACGGTCAGAAATACAACGAGGCGATGGCGACGTACCTGCTGCTGGGGAAGAAACCCGCTGAGGTGTGTTACATTACCTGTCAAACGTGTTTAGCTTAGCTTAGCACAAAGACTGGAACCAGGGGGAAACTGCTAGCCTAGTGTCATCATACCACCAACACCTCTCTCCCAGTCTGAGCCAGTCTTTTACCCAGAATCCTCTGTTGTGACTCTCTCCACCAGTTTGAAGGCACAGAGTCTTTGTCCAGCGGTAACCTGGTTCCAAGGTCGCGACCCTGCAGCGACCTCAACGGCTCCAGTCAGTCCCCCGCCCACTCTCGCAACGTACCGACCAATCAGAAGCAGCGGCGTTTCAGCGACCACGGTGAGTTTACATCCAGTCAGATTCTGTTCGTTCCGTTCGTCGTTTATACTCAACAAGGCCTTTTTACTGGACCTCGTGTTTAGATAGTTCTGGATCAGTCTTTGGATTCTCTGTGTTTTGTGTCTCAGTGGCGCCTTCCATCCCCCCGCCTGTCTCCTACACCAAGCGTTCCCACGCCAACAGCGTAGAGAGCGACAGAAGGGAAGATCCCGCCTCACCCGTGGGAGCTCCGGACCGCAGGAAGTCAGCCACAGCCTCAGGGGTGAGACGATACAGATTCTGTTCTTAAAGCTCCTCCAGTGTAAAGGTCTCTGTCCATGTGTAGTTTGATTGCAGATCAGGTCTAGCTTCTATATTAATTAAAACACAGAAGAAGAAGAAAACATGGTGCTTTAACCAAGTTCTGATTCTGAAACCAGGTTTAAACCAGGGTTAAAGGTCAAACAACATGCGTGTTGTTGAAGTAAGTGATGTCATGTGCAGCTCTGATAATCATCTCTTCCCTCTGGCACCACCCTCTGGACAAACTGTGTTGTCTGTGTTGCCTTGGATCAGCGGATTGAGGTCGACCTGCTCATGTGACTGTCTTTGTGTTACAGAGCATGACTCGCAGGAACACGTATGTTTATGAGAGGACGAGCGCTGACCGCCACTCCGCCGCCATCCCCAACGGGAAAGACAGCAGGTGAGGAGAGGAAGCCTGCGAGTCGTCACTGATCACACGCTGATTCAACTCATCAATAACACACCTGTCTCTGTCTCAGTCTACCTGAGGTACCTGCAGCGTCCCCCTCCCCGTCACCAGGGGGAGCCGTCTCCTCCACACGCCCCCGTCATGTCAAGTCCATGTCAGCGTCAGGACATCCCATGAAGTCCAGCCTGCCCCCCATCGACGACAACGCGGAGTATCAGAGGTGAAAAACGTGTTTCATGTCTCCTCGCAGCAGTCGTTTATTACATCACTATATCAACAACCTTCTCTCCCCCCCAGCTCCCCCCACCAGCCCCCCTCCTCGCCGTCAGCCTTCAGTGTCACCAGCAGCAGCAGCAGCACCACGCCGGACCGGACCCGCTTCCCCCGCGGCTCCTCCAGCCGCTCCACCTTCCATGGCGCTCAGCTCAGAGACCGACGACCCGCCACGTACAACGGGCCCCCGGCCTCGCCCAGCCTGTCGCAGCACGCTGCCGCGTCCCTGGCCACACCTCACCGTGGCACCTCCACCTCCCTCATCGGGAAGATCACCTCCAAGTTTGTACGCAGGTCAGTCACCAACAAGAAGCTGAGTCCCAATTCAGAGGCTGCAATTAAAGACCGATTGTGTCGCAGCAGACTTGAACTTTGACTTTGTGGTATCCCATGATTCATTGTGTGCTGGTAATGAAAACAGCCTGTTGATCACACTGTTAAATGTCAGGATTGTGTTTCAGCTCAGTTCAACAGTTAACGGTCCAACTGTTAAAACCAAGAGACTTAAAACCTCAAGTTTTGGTGAGAAAAAGTTACATGTAGTCAAGGTTGCTAGGCGACAGGAGCTTTGCGACGCCACAGTTGGGGGCGGGAGCAATGAATCTTGGGATATGTTGGGCCACAAAGGATCCACCTGTTGGAGCCTTTGACATTTGAAGGAGCCTGTGAAATGTGACAGTGTAGTCGCGGCACTGAAGGATGCGGCCCTGCGTTGGGACTACACACCGTGAGCCGGTGACACAGGGACTATTTCTTCAGTAGTTGTAGTCAGATTTCTCAGACCTGGATCAATAAAACCAAAACCACAGGTGAATAATTAAATATGTTCATGTGTGATCTGGGCGAGTTTAACAATAACAACATCAAAGATGCTCTGAATGAAAATCTACCTTCTTCTTCTTGTGCTTTAAAACTGCTGTTTATTCGTGTCCTTCCTCCAGGAGTTTATCAGGTGAACCCAAAGAGGAGGTGCGGGACTCCAAGCCTCGCTCGCTGCGGTTCACCTGGAGCATGAAGACCACGTCCTCCATGGAGCCGGGCGACATGATGAAGGAGATCCGGCGGGTTCTGGACGCCAACAACTGTGACTATGAGCAGCGCGAGCGCTACATGCTGTTCTGCGTGCATGGCGACGCCCGGCAGGACAGCCTGGTCCAGTGGGAGATGGAGGTGTGCAAACTGCCCCGCCTCTCACTGAACGGCGTGCGGTTTAAACGGATCTCGGGCACGTCCATCGCCTTCAAAAACATCGCCTCCAAAGTGGCCAATGAGCTCAGGCTGTGAGCGAATCACATGATCCTGAAACACTGACGAGGAGGACGTCTCTGCACCTCCTCTTCAAAGGACGACGCCCCGTCACGTGGCGGCGGCCGTCTTGTGTTCAGCACTATTCCAGGATAACTGCTGTATGACTCAGAGAAACTTCACCTTATTATACTCCACACGGTTACTATTTAATGTTATCACTAAATGTTGACGCCAGTGAAACCAAATATGAAATCAAGTGGCGGCGCAGACATCCAGCAGGTCGTGGTTCGTCCCTCGGTGTTCGGTCGGTTTATCGCTGCGTTTACATGCACTAAAGAAATCTGATCCTCCCAAAACCTTGGAGACTGAGTCCTGACCATCACGTAAAGTGGAAACTCTGTCAGGTCAAAGGGATTAAAGCTGATCCACACAGGTAGATTTCTACTGGAGGAACCTGCGAGCGAGCAAAGAGCCAGGACAGGAAGGAGTATTCAGGAGGAGACGGATCAGACTGCATGTAATCTGAAGTGTTAGAGTTATTATAATGTTGCTGAGCATGTCAACGCGTTATCCAGTTTCTTGCCTTAACCTGATCTCTTGACAGTGACCTGGTTCCTGGAGTGCAGGTGAATCATTACCTCTGCTCTACCTGTGCAACTCTGCTGGCATGTGAAGTACAGGAAAGTAGAACAGCTGGCTACAGATGCAGTGAAGGTCGAAAACACTCAGTATTCATCATGACCCTGTTGTGAGCAGACAAATTAATTAAAGGAGAGCGTCGGTGAGTTTTATGGACGTGGACGAAACCAAGTTACAAACACCCTCGCTATCAGTTTTTTCTTCGCTCACCAAGTAATCACTGTTTAGCTTTGTTAAAATCATGAAGGTTTCAAATTCTTATTGTAGCTGCTGCAGTGAAGCCGATTTGTCTTAGAACATGGAAAATAAACGCTTCATTTCCTCTTAAAGACCAATGAAAGAAAAGCTGAGTGAGAGATTAGCTAGCGAACGTGTTTATGTCATGACTCTCTGTTGCGGCGATGGCGCAATTGCATATAAAGTCAATGCTAATGCTGCATTCACGTGCTCCTCGGAAGGTCCCGTTTTCTGAGTTGGGAAGTCGTTCTTCCAACATCGGTGCGTTCACGGTTTTGTTTAAGTCAAATTGTGGAAACAACATGGCTGTTACGAAGATATGCAGTGTCTTATTGGTCAGAGCGTTAAACAACAGGTTGCTAGCTTACTGCTAACGAATAATGTTTCTAACTGATCCAGGTTCTATGTGGACAGCAACTAACAGTTACAACCTAATAACATATTATAATTTAAATGTTAGTGAAATAATGCACGAGATGCAAAATGTGAATTTGCACCATTAATCAAACGTTTCTCACCATCAACCAAACATTTACTTTCGTCTGCCATGTTTCTGCATAAATGACATCAACAACTTTTCGTTTCGCGCGATAGACGGTGAGTGAAGGGATTGAAAACGGTCAGTTTGAGCTGTAGCACAAACAAGACACAGGGTTGCCAGACGTCCTGGTTTTCCTGGGTTTGTTCTGTTTTTGAAACGACTGTCCCGGAAAATTGATATTCTTTCCTGGGATACAAATTGTCTCAGCTTTTGTGAAAATGCATGTAAAAAAAAAAAAAAAAAAACTCATTTATTTCCCTATAACGCTATTCTGCTTTCTTCCTGGTTATGTCCAACCCCGTGTTAGGGGGTACACAAGTGGCAGCAAGGGTGTTAGTAAAAAAAGAAAAAACTTTGGCATGGCCCAATGGACAAGTGGTTAGGGTGCACACTTTAGCTCTGAGCCGCCGATCCTGGGTTTGACTCCCGACCGGCTCTTTACTGCATATCTCAAAATAAAACTTCAGTTTTTGAAATGGGGGAGAGATGGATGAGAAGGACGTAGAAACAAAACCAGGGGAAAATTTGAATCATCGCCTCGTGGTTGTATCCCTCCGCCACTCAGACTAGTTCCAGGTTACATCCCTGTTTATCCAGAGTCACATGAAATATGCCGTGAAGTCCTGAGTTACACCTAGAAAGTGTTTTGTGAGGTCACACTGACCTTGAACTGAAATTCCCTCGAGGCGTTGCCGGAGATATCACGTTCACAAGGCTAAAACTGAATTTTGTGAGGTCACTGTTACCTTTGACCTTTCACCTTTCACCACCAAAGTCTAATCAGTTCGCCCCTGAGTCCAAGTGGACATTTTTGCCAAATTTGAATAATTTCCGTCAAGGCGTTACTGAGATATCGTGGGACGGACAGGTTCACAAATCAAACGTGGCAACCCTTCCAATCACCGATGTTAGCCTGTTAGCCACAGCTAGCTCCTGCTGGTACATTAGCTTGTTGAGGCGGATGAACTAAGATGACTGTGAAGTCCGGCTGCTCTGTTTGTGTATCACACCTTAACAGATAGTTGACAAATTAACAGGTGTTAGCTCCTTAGCACAAAAGTACAGGTATAAATTAGGTTTCTCTCTGGCTAATGTTAGCTTAGCATAGTGTTCTGTCGTACATGATGGTTAAGTGAGTTAAGTTTCATCCATTCACTCTCACCTGGATGTGTTTATAGGGAAAGAGGCTCGTACCTCAGCAGAGATCCACCTTTACGCTGTAGGTTGCACAGTTTGCAGCAGAGGGAATGAGTCATGAAACGTGATGAACAATCAGGTTGTGACAACATCCTCACTGAGGAAATGTGACCTCTGACCTCCTGATGCAGCACACCCTTTTACTCCCCCTGCTGGCTGATGTTAATACTGTTGCAATAATATTAGAGCGTCGGCGATGGTGTCGATGCTCAGCAACGTTTCCTGGTTTGTTCAAACACAAACTGTAAATCTTTTTCCGCATTTACAGCTGACAGATCAGAATGTGTTTTCATTATTTCTTCTCTGCTGTATAAGATGATACCTGTCCAGGTGGATGTACAGGTTCAGGGTTGATTCGTCTTGGTTTGTGTACAGAGTCTGTTTTTATTTGGTCTACACTGTCTCCATCTTTATTATTTTCCCACCATTTGAAATGTTTTTATTCTTATTTTCAAGGTTTTTAGCAGTGAGATCAAATTTAGATTTTTTTATAACGGTGGTCGTGTTTATGTGGCTGTTGAACGGAGCATAAACCAGAACGACACCAATGAGACGTTCAAATGCACTTCAAGTTCAACAAAGCAAATCATTCACACGTCTCCTGTTCAAACTTAAAGGTCACTCTGTTTTTTTTCTATTTCTTTCTGTCATGAACAAACTCATGTGCAGCGACGAACCAACAACGTGTCAGTCCGTCTTCTTCAGCTCCGAGCTCATTGGTTCCTACTGAAGATGTAAAAAAAAAAAAACTAAAAAAAAAAGCAATTTGTTAAAACATCCTTATGAAAATAAAATAAATTGGAAACTGACATTAAATAAAATTTGAATTATTGAAGTATCTGCTGTTTCAAGCGTCACAAACATCAGTATTCGATGCTTTTCTTCGTTACACATGATAAGAAACTGAAAAACTTTGAATTTTTATTCATTTTTCACAATGTTTTGGCATTACACAGACGAAACAATTAAATTACAACGATTAAAGTGAAAAAATAATCAGCAGATTTATAGATGATGAGAATAAGTGTTAGTTGCAGCCCTATAGGGCATTTGCTGGGGACTATTTTCAGCGGCGGATTAATCCACATGTGGCGCATTAGTGAGTATTTGAGGCAGCAGGACGGTGTGTGTGTTCGCGGTGATGAAGGAACATGTCACCCAGGGCAACAGCATATTTCTGGAAACAACGGCGCTCAGAGGAATAACCTCGTTAGTACGTGACATTAATTGTTGGTTTGAATCTGCACGTGTGATTTGTTCACATTTACTGCCGTTTCCTGTCGGATCAACTCAAATCTGTATCTGTTCCACCACTCAATGCCTTCTGAATGTACTGCTCTGTACGTCCTATGCATTCAGCTGTGTCAGAGGAAAAGAGCAGTCAGTGGTTTTCCTTTCACTTTGACTTCTTTTGTATATTTGTAATTATTTTCCCACTAATCTTTGTCTGTGTTTCAGCAGAGCTGCTAACCAGCTCTGCTTGTCTCTACAGTGTCGAGGTCCTGAGGGTTCTCTGTGCAATGGTTCTCCATCATTACTGAAACCGGAGAACGCTTCGTACTGTACGTTGTAGCACTTAAAAAAAAACAAACAAAAAAAAAACAGGAGGGGAACAAAGTGCAAATGTAACGTCCCTGTCTGACGGGGATGGGAGGGGTGAAAACGTGTCTGAGTCCGAATGTGATGCTGCCTTCATGTCGTGGGAAAGACTGTACGTAAATCTGAGCCTCTTACTTGAAAATAGCCTTCACCTCAGCTTTCAGATAGTAACTCGTACCCGGCGGCTGCCTCGGATCTGTCAGGCTCGTCACCAACAGGGAAGTAGCAAAGTCCAGTGTAGCCATGATAGATGCATTTTAAATAAAAACCACTGAGATGAAACATTTTCACCATGATTCGTTTTTTTGATCCCAGCTGTTAAAACGCCACCGTGACATGTACAACTGCTGTTTGGGTAACGTTTTATTTTCTGAACATCTTCCCCTTGATTCATTCTGTTGATTAGTAGCTGTTCTCACATCGTCTTCAGTCCTCAAGAAGACGTGACTGAAGAAATGATCTGAGGTCCAAGATCTATACTCATACTTACTGTGCACAATCACACACACATACTATATATGTATAATGTGACCTGTCAGCTTCAGCTTCCTCCAGCAGAGGACCTGGGACCAGAGTCAAGGCTGAATGCACAGGAAGCTCCTGATGAAGATGAAGATGATGATGAAACCAGACCTGAAGAAATATTCTTAAGTCCAGGAATTAAAAATCACTTCAAGCCACCAAGAGTGAAAATGATTGTTCAGCTGTGGTCATGGTTTATTACAAAACTGTTTGTAAGAGATGGGACAGAGACGGACGACCTTGAAGTCAAACCAGAATCTCCTCCTCGTGGTCGTATCCCTCCGCCACTCAGACTAGTTCCAGGTTACATCTCTGTTTATCCAGAGTCATAAAATATGCACCATTTGTGTGAAATCTTGTCATAATTTATGTGAAGTTTTGAGTTATGGCTAAAAAGCGTTTTCTGAGGTCACACTGACCTTTGACCTTTAACCACCAAAATCTAATCAGCTTGTCCTTGAGTCCCAGTGGATATTTTCCTGCCAAATGTGAAGGCGTTTTGTGAGGTCACCATGGCCTTGACCTTTGACCTTTGACCACCAAAATCTGATCCGTTCATCCTCAGTTCCTAGTGAATGTTTGTACCAAATTTGAAGAAGTTCCGTCGAGGTGTTTCTGAGATATTGTGTCCACGAGAATGGGACGAACGACTCGAAAACCATCAATCAATCAATAACCTCAAAAGGTTTTAATCTCGTCAGACTTCTCTTTTGTTTTGAGTCTTTACTTTGGTGTTAAACTTCAACATTCATCAAGTTGCTCAAAATAATAATAATAAAAATAATGAACTGAGCAAAAGATCAGAATAAATAATATTCAGACAGAAGTTAATAGTTTCCTGACATTTCTATAGATTTGATAAATAGAGAAAATGAATGTTTAGGTCTTTCCACACAGGGAGGGGATTTACACATTAATGTATAAACTATAGTATTTAGTTCTGATGATGATGATGCTCACTCTAAATTCATCAGCTTGTTCTTCATGATGACTAATGACTGATTTAAACCATAGACTGTATATAAAAATGGACGTCAACTCAAGGTCTGGAAAATGAAGCCAATGCGGAAGTGCCTTAAACTTTTAATCTTTCTATCGAATGACCATCAGGGGGCGACTCCACTGGTTGCAAAAAGTCTGATTGTATTTAAGTCTATGGGAAAATGACCCTACTGACCCTGAGTCTCTAGTTTGAAGTTTTCTTCAATACAACATGATCTGAAACAAACAAACAACAATTAACAAAAAGGAATTTGCTTAGAAGTTTAAAAAAACTTACTCTGAACTGTGCTTTTGGCTATGCCCCTAAAAATGGGCCTGTAGCTGTGTGGCTCTCTCAGTTGGACAAAATGCCCTGAGCCACCTCAGCCTTCAGGTGAGCTCACCTGCTGAAGACACAAAAATCAATGATCTTCTTCAAACAGTTCACATGGACAGCAATATTCAAATACAACACATTATCAATGATAAATTAATTTAAGTCCATTTAAAATATGTTTTTCATTTAAATAATGCTCAAAAAAAAAAAAACGTGTTTTAATGGCCCAAACCCTTGACTGACACAAAACACCCCTCCTCTCTGCGAGCACTTGGTCTCCTCCTCTGGGAACCCTCTACTTAACCCATTGGACTGCTCCACCTAGGTTTGCCAGCTCGCCTGTCTGTGGCAGAGGAGGAGACAGGTGCGACACAGAGGACAGGTGAAACACACTTTGTGGTGCATGTCAAACGTTAGCAAGTACTATATCTTTAAATACAGGTTAGATAAAATATCCAACCACACAGTCAGGATGGAGGAGAGAGACCTGCTCTGTGTGTGAGCACGGTGTGCCTCACTTTACGGCATGTGGTTTCCGCATGAAAAGTACATTTTGATTTCAGCCTGTTTTCTTTGCTAGCCGTTAGCAATGCCCTGTTTAAGATATCACAGTTTCGGTGAAGATGCAGCCTGCTAACCAAGCTACGCCAGCTAGTGCTAGCCGCGTAGCTGATTAACTTAGCGAGTTGCTATGCTAAGCGGTACGCCCTGGCCCCTGCCTGGGCTGCATAACCTGTGTCAACCCTGGTTAGCCCGTGGGAGGTGTCAGTCAAACCACAATATAAAAGGTGAATTTAATCGACAGTTAATCTAACGACGTTGGTTGTGGTGTTCTCCACATGTGACCGCAGTTTAAGTGATCTGCGTTAGTGTATGGCGCAGCTTAATGTTGGTTAATACATTGTTCCATAGACGTCTGATAGTTCAAGTTAAGATAACGTGACGTTTACAAAATGTTGTAGAAGAAATATTTGTCTTATAGAAGAATTGTTGATCTTTAATACATCCAAACCAGTCCTCAACATGAAGAGTCCAACATTCATGCCACCTATCCTGACAGCTGATGCGATATTTGTGATTAACTGTGATCAGCCGCATCTTAACTCAAGTGTTTGTGTTTTTATTGTCA